TTCTCCTTTCACGGGTCTTTTCCAAGATTTGGCGCATGGTGAATATCTGGTCGGTTGTTGATTTTCCAGGTCTGAAGCCACACTGATAAGGTCCAATCACTTTGTTGACGGTGGGCTTTAATCTTTCACACAATATGCTCGATAGAACCTTATATGCGATATTGAGGAGGCTTATCCCACAGATTGTGGGGTCTCCTTTTTTGAGGATTGGGAATAACCATACCACTCATTCCTAAAGTATCCACAAATGATTCTCTTAAAATCCAAACTAACTCTCTCTCTACAGACAATATAATATTCCCACCTATTTATTCGGAATATATCTCACCTCATATAATAACCACATCTGACCATGAAGATCAATAACTCTCATTATCCCTCCTCTCCTTTTTCTCAATCACTCACATTATTAATAAATGTTCAAATTTCTCCAATGGAACTAACTTAGAATTACTCAAGCACCAAGTGTTATATCACTACAAGAAACACACCTCTCATTTAATTCCGCAGCTGCTGTACCCAAACAATACGCTGCCTATTTCTTCAACTTAACGCAAAATCATACTAACAAAGAAGGTAGTGCTACTTTAATAAAAAAAGACTTCCCACAGAAATTTCTCCCTACATGTTTTAATATTTCTACAATGGCAATTGAAATATTTATTGGATTTAAATTAACCATCTTAACAATTTACATTCCACCACACTAAAACTTTACTATCAAAGAACTACGCCATATAATCGGACCTATCCAAACACCCGTACTTATACTTGGCGATTTCAATGCCTGCAGCCCTCTTTGGGGTTCCACATGTACTAACCAAAGAGGTAAAATCATAGAAGACCTTTTATTAGCAGAAAACTTAACAATTTTAAACGACGGTTCTCCTACGCATTTTTCTCCGCATAATTCGTTCACGAATGTAGACCTGGTCATTTGTTCTTCTGCTATCGCCCCCAAACTTAACAGCCAAACACTAACAGATCTTTACAACAGCGATGATTTCCCCATTATAACCCACTTATCAACCCCTTTATCCAGAAAAGGGTCGGCGAAGCCAAAAATTCTATTGGACAAGGCAAATTGGTCCAAATTTCATCAACTCTGCGAAAATTTGCCTGCGCTAGTCCCATTAACGATAATATAAATAAAGAAACAGCTACGATTACCAAAATAATCAAAACTTCTGCTCACCTATCTATCCCCCAAACGGGTAAAAAATTCTTCAAATATCAKGTGCCTTATTGGTCTACGGAG